TCAAAGAGAACACATGATGAGGCTTGTAAGCTCGCTGGTAACTGCCTTGGTCTACTTGTGAGTGGAGTGGAAGTGGGGAAAGGCAGTAAAGAAGACCATATTTCATAGACCTCTGTTGGCCATGAAATGAGAGAGAGAAGAGGAAGGGCTGGTTGGTCTGAAGTTTGGGGAGACTTAGGAACTCCTGAGCCCATGGACACTGACCTAGCCACGGGAGACTAGAGCTGAGAGTGAAGCGTCCAGCTGATATGAAGTGGAGGTAGATGTGTGCAAGAATGACCAAACTTGTAGATAGTACCTATTTGACTTAGCTTGGATGGCTTACTGATTAGAACTCAACTAGAGGAAGATAAAGAAGTTTGATATAGGAAGCAAGTGTAAATTGACTGCTACAATGTGATGACTTGAGCTTTGCTTTATGGATGTAGCTGCTCAAAATACCAACCAAGAAGGATCAAACCTATCACTTCAGAACATAGGGTTGATAGGGACATGCAACTTAGACACTGGCTACTTAAAATGGGGGGGGAGGGGTGGCAGGGAAGGGCTATAACGGCACAAAGTGGCTGGTTTACAAGTTTTCAAGAGAAAGTTTAGTTTCAGAGTGAGGGGTGCAGCATAGATCCCCACTGAATAGTTTTCATCTTATCTAGATTGATCTGGTGAAAGGAGATGGGGACATGATTATTTTGTTTCAATAATGAGTAACTGTTATCATGCCTAATTCCAACTGGCACAACTGTAATGGTAGAAGATGTGTAACAAAAAGATGCAAGTAGTTAATCGTACATTCTAGGACCATCAAGAGGGAAGAGCATGAGTGGAGCAAAGGATCCTAACCAGAAAAGCAGCGACAACAAAGATGCAGGCAGAGGTGATGGCATGGAAAGAAAGAGCAGTTGGGGGCTCTCGACTCATGGAAAGAAAAAGGCCGTGTACTGGAGGGCAGGAGGCTGGCTTAAAAAATGTGTCCTTTAGTTGTTTAAATGATTATATATTCCTGTGTGTTTTGTGCACATTAAAAAAAAAGAGAGAGAGAGAACAGAGGCAAATACTGTTAACTGATGGTGTACGGAGGAGATTGTAATTATTGCAATGAAACAAAATACAGTTGGTTGAATGTAAAGCTGATGTTTCTCCATGTAAACTATTACACAATTCACAATGAAAGCTTAAAAAAAAGAGATATGGCTGATGTTCAACCATTTAAAGAGGTAGCATATGACCAAGAACCAGTGGAACTAAGGAAGAAGTCCAAGCAGGATGGAAGGCACTGGTGAAAAACAAGGGTCCAGGAACTGATGGAATACAAATTGAAATCTTTCAACAAACTGAGTCAGCACTGGAGGCACTCATTCATCTATGCCAAGAAATTTGGAAGGCAGCTACCTGGCCAACTGATTGAAAGAGAACCATATCTGTTCCCATTCCAAAGAGAGGTGACTTAATGGAATGCAGGAATCATTGAGCAATATCCTTACTATCATATGGAAGTAAAACTTTGCTGAAGAAAATAAAAAATGACTGCAACAGTACATCGGCAGGGAACCACTGGAAATTCAAGCTGGGTTCAGAAGAGGACATGTAATAAGGGATATCACTGCTGACATCTGATGGAGTTTGGCTGAAAGCAGAGATTATCAGAAAGATGCTTGTTTGCTTGTGCTTTATTGGCTATGAAAAGGCTTTCAATTGTGTGGACCATGACAAATGGTGTATAACATTATGATGAGTGGATATTCCAGAACACACTTCACTGTGCTCATGAGGAACCTGTATAGAGACCAAAACATAGTCAATTGAACAGAACAAGGGGACATTGAATGGTTTAAATTTAAGAAAGGTGTGCGCCAGGGTTGCATCCTTGCAATCTGTGTGCTAAGCAAATAATCTGAGAACATGGCTTCAGGATTGGAGGAACACTCTTTAAAAACCTGTAATATGCAGATGATACAACCTTGTTTGCTGAAAGTGAAGAGGACTTAAAATACTTACTGATGAAGGTCAAGATTATATATCCTTCAATATGTATTACAATGTAAAGGAAACAAAGAGCCGCACAACTAGATCAATAAATAACATCATGATTAACAAAAAAAAAAGAATATGGCTGTCAAAGACTTCATTTTTTGGATCCACTATCAACACTCAAGTGTGTCAGCAGTAGTGAGGTTGGCCCAGGATCGGGCAGTGTTTTGTTCTGCTGTGCATGGGGTCGCTATGAGTCAGTTCCGACTCAATGGCACCTAACAACAACAACAACATCAACACTTATGGAAGCAGCAGTCAAGAATCAAATGACATACTACATTAGGCAAATGTGCTGCACAAGACCCCTTAAAAGTGTTTAAGAGCAAGGATGTCAGTTTGAGGTACGCCTGTCCCCAGCCGTGGTATTTTCAAGAACAATAGCCTCGTATGCAGATGAACGCTGGAGAATGAATAAGGAAGACCATAAACGTATTGATGCATTTGAGTTATGGTGATAGAGAAGAATATTGGAAGTGCCATGTACTGCAAAAAGAAAAATCAAATCTGTGTTGGAAGAAGTACACCCAGAATACTACCTAGAAGCCAGGATGGCAAGACTTTTTCTCTCATAATTTGGACGTGTTATTAGGACAGATCGTGGTGTGGCTCTGTGGGTCAATGTGCCAGACTGCAAAGCCATCTGACCTGCAAGTTCGGCAGTTCAAGCTCACCAGCTGCTCCTCGGAAACCCCAGGGTCGCTATGGGTCAGAATTGCCTCGACGGCACTTGACAAGAACAACATTAGGACAGATCAGTTCCTGGAAGACATCATGCTTGGTAAAATGGAAGGTCAATGAAAAAGAGGATAATGCCCAAGGAGACGGACTAACAGGTTGGTAGCAGCAATGGGCTGAAATGTAACAATTGTGAGAATGGTGGAGGACAGGACCATGGTTCATTCTGCTGTGCATGGAGTTCCTATGTGTCTGAACCGACCTGATGGCACCTCATTACAAAGACAACAACCTGAAGTACTGTACCAAGGAAGACAAACAAGCTAAAATTCAAATTAATGTTTGTGCTATAATTTTTGTTCTACCAGAATCATTAACAATTAAATTGCTACTTTACAATGAATCAAAAGTTAACTAAGGTTTGTCTTTAGGTTGTCCACAAGAGGGCAGTGATTTTTCATACAGTGTATAATGACAAAATTATCAAAATGAGAAATTAACATTTATTCTCTAAATCTCAAGAAACAAATAACTTTTAAACAATTTATCCACAAGTGTTCATCATTAAAAACCATACTTTGACAAATTTCTTACTGATTTTTTTAAGACCTCATGCTCATTTTGACTCAATAGTAGTGGGTAGGGATACGTGCACTTTAGTTCACATTAAGTAAAACGCCAAGGCAGAAGAGTTATTTAGCAAAGACTAAATGAAACTTCTTAGATCCATTTTAGATTATGAAATACCTTCTTCATCTTCCCACTCTAGGTCTAAGGAGGTGCTGTCATCATTTCCACTGGTTGACTTAGTTTTGGTCATTAAATCACAACTGCTTTCCGTGTTTGGTGTCAAAACTGTGGCATCAGATGAGAGTCCTAGAATATGCACCGAAATACAACTGAATGTTGTCATTTGTACTCTTACCATAACCACCATTTATTTCCCAACACCTGCCTCTTTCCAAATATTGCGATTTCTTTTAACTTTATAAGAAATTATTATGACATTATTGTATTAATAAGTTTCTGTTATGAACAGTATATGGGCTGGTTGGGTTTTTTTTGTTCATTTTGTTATCTAAGCACTCAACATGCAGATTTAAACAACTTACAAAATCTTCAAATATCATGAACTCAACGTAGTATTTTAAATAAACAACTGTAAAAGAGGATGAAAAACTAAAATATTTAAACAAATGAAAACTAGACTATATTTTCCAAAGGGACCAATACTCCTATGCTTTCACTACTGGGAAAGAGGAGTTTTGATTTTTGAAACTTGAAGAAAGAAACACTTTAATTTTATAGACCAATTTGTAATCATTAAAATGATTTATTAATAAAGATAACACTTGTATATTACTCTCTCCCACCTTCTTTTTCTTTTTTCTGTTGGGGGGTGTTGGGGAGTGAGGGCAGATGTAGGGAGGAAGTAGAAATGGCAGAAGGAGTAGTTGGCTCCTTATATAATCTACAGAAATAGCCTGAGCTGTTGCTTTGCTCCAACTCCCTTTTAAAAGGGAAAGATGATACTGGGTAATTAAGGACTAGCTAATTGACCCATTTGGGCAATACAAAGAGCAGGAAGTTCTTTTATAGGAAACAGAGCCAAGATCTCCAATTACCTATGTGACATCAATTGAAAATGTACCAAGAATAATTTTTAAGACTTACTACTACTTCGAAAAACTTCATACTGTGACTTTATATTTCTCAAACAGGATTCAAAGTCATCATCTGGTCCTGAACTGTAATAAAAGTGAAAGAAGTTTTTTTCATATATACTCACAGTAGATAACATAAATGCAACATAGATAACATAAATGCAAGTGTAACTTAATAATGACAATTTCATTTGAAGGTCTATCTCGTACAGATTTTTAACTACTGTACTGTTAGACTTAACCTAATGAAAATAAGTCTTAGTTTTCTAACAGCTAGCATGGAAATAATCAAACTTTGGTTAATCCTCAAATCAAATCTCCAAAGCCCAGCCATAAGCCCAACACGACGATTTTCAATATGAAGCATAAGAAGGTTTATTTGAAGGAGTAGGAGGAGTAAGTGAAATTGTGAGACACTGAAAGTCCTTTTCCAAACATGGATCATACGTTACCTTTATTATACGAAAGCAATGGGCTAAAAAAAAAACCCACCAAACAACTAATTAGCCAAAGAGAGTCCATATGCTATTTTCTATGTGGAAGACGTGACTATTCTTTTAAAGGGGCAATAAAGTCAATGTAAAATAAATGATGCTTACTTTCTAACTCTAAGAAAGCAAATTCTCTCAGGGCTCTTATTTTCTGGGAAAGTAAGCATAAGCATGAATATATAAACACCCAAACGTGAACTGCGCTCCCTTTGGAAATAAGATTTTGAAAAACAAAGGGAAACAGACATATGGTTTACTATTTACCTTTGATATTCTCCACTGTGGGAAAGACGATATCGCTGTGCAGCCCTCTGCCTTTCTTGCTTTGGAAACAAGATACAATATAAATCAATCTGTCATACAATTCTGCTTTTTTAAAACCACTCATGCAATATCAAAAAGTCCTTTTTTTTATCTCTAAAACTAAAAAACTTAACGTTATGCTGTTGAAGTCTTTTTCGTTAAAATCATCACTGTTCATATTTCCACATCCTTTTACTTGTGGGCAGGATTTCTCTCAATAAATGAGTGTATAAAAGTATATAAACAGAAAATATATAGGTTTATAAAAAAGTTTTTTAACAGATATATATTAGTGTCTTGAGCATTCTCACTATGTCCAATAACGTCACAATCACTGAAAGGATAAGGGGGGTTGGGGTGGGGTGGAAAAGGAATAGCTAAAGCAGTATTAGAAATTGTATCATTAGTGACATGAGCAACAGTGAAATAAAACGTTCTGTAGACCTGCCAGAGTTGTAGCTCCTACAGCTGGCTACGTGTTCCTGGTATGTCCTTTACTTTCTTTTTCTTCAACTGTTAATTACACGTGGCTATAATAATTGCCCTGGAGTCCTGGCACTGTGGGTTAATGCGCCGGACTGCAAAGCCGTTTGAACTGCAAGGTTGGCGGTTCAAGCTCACCAGCTGCTCCTTGGAAACCCTATTCAGGGTCACTATGGGTTGGAAGTGACTCTACGGCACTTAACAACAATAACAACAACATAATAACTGGAGTTCTGGTGTGGCGCTGTAGGATAAGCACTGGACTGCAAGATTGGTTTGAATGGCAAGGTCAGCAGTTCAAATTTACCAGTCGTTCCTCGGAAACCCTATACAGAGTTGCTATGAGTTGGAAGTGTCTCAACAGCACTTATCAACAACATAATACTCTCCTAACAAACTTATAGCATTATTGGTGTGTGTTTGTGTCAGTTTATGTAATTTAGACAGTTAAGTATTCCTATATCAAATATTCAGTCAGGAAAGGCAGAAACCCAGAGACCCTTGGAAAACATCCAAATAGGTATTGCTTATGGGATGCTGTTAGTCTATAAAAGTTGAGGAATTAATTAAAAAACAAAAACAAAGCCTTTTATTTCTTAGTTGAAGGTGGGAATTTTTAAACTTTACTTACCAAAAAAATGTTATCTCCCATATAATTTAATGAATCTGCTGAAGCACCCTCCCTCCCAAAGAGAAAGTGAGTGAGACAAGAAATAAAAAGGGCACTTTTCATAAAAACCACATAATCGTATGACGGACATAATTTTCTAGCTTCTCTAAGTTATAGTAATTTACTTACAGACATGATCTTTTATACTACGATAGCAAACCCACATACACAAAATATGGAGGGAGATATTAACTACAGGATACTGGCTAACCACTAGAGTCAGACCGCTGGATCTAAACTCTGGTTGTGCCATTTATTAGTTATAGGATGTCGGGCAAGTTACTTAACATCTCTGTTCCTCAGTTTTCGCGTCTGTGAAATGGTGATTAAAAACATTACATACCTCCCAGGATTGTTGAAAAGATTAAACAAGGTAAAATAGCTAAACTACTGAGATTAGCTCTGATACTTAGGTAATGCCGTATTAGTATATGACAAGGTAAATATAGTATTTCCTGCCACTCCTGACAATAGGCCAAAGACTTCTTAATACACAAACTCTCAATGACCTAAGAATAAAGATAAGAAATACACAGTGCTCCTATTGGGCAAAATTGCCCAGCTTACCCGAGTCTATAAAGTACAAGAAACTCTAGCAGTTCAAGAATGAAAAAAAAAACAAACAAAAAGCTGACCAAAAAATGTTTTCAGAATTGTATTTAAGAACTAGTTTTATATGGTTTTCCCTCTAAAAGTACATTTATTTTTCTAAAAGATTTTGTTAGATTAAAATTGCTTAGGGTAAACAGGAATTAGTTTCTGCTAAAGTTAAACACTCCTGGTGCGGCACTGTAGGATCAGCACTGGACTGCAAGCCACAAGGTCTGTGATTCAAACCCACAAGCTGCTCCCTGAAAACCCTATAAAGGGTCGCTATGAGTCGGAATCCACTCAACAGCCTATAACAACAACAACAAAGTTAAACATCATTCCATGTGAAGCATGTTGGTTAATGCTATACTTAGACAATCAATGTTAAAGCAAGAGGCCCTTGATTCAAGGGGAAAAAAGTTGCAAGTAAGATTTGTTAGAAAAAATTAGGAGAAAAGCAGCCCTAATGTATGTTGGGGTCTTTTCCCCTCACCTCCAAGAGCTTTCGCTGCTTTGCTGCCCTGGCTGCTTCACGCTGTGCAGCGTATAAAGCTTCTTCTTCTAGTCTTAACTTCTCTTCTTGTAACTCTAACTGTACATGAACAAAACAATAAGGATTAACGAAAAAGCAGAACCTGTCTAGCTGCTCTAAAAAGAAAATATTTCTATCTAAAAAATAAAAATAAACTAGTAAAAAAAGAAAAAAGAATTGATCTCTATAAAATATATATAACCGAACTGAAATTTTAGTGAATGCCCATGTTTCAAGTTCTTGTTTTACAAAGTAAACAAAACAACAAACACATTACAGAATTCTTCAAATTTTTATAAATGCAGTTGTTGTTGTTTTTTTAAAGAATATGTAATGATTTTCAATCTTTACAATCCTCCCAACACATACATCCTGATAGTTTAATGGTTTTCGCTCTTTTTAGTCCATGGTCTGCAAAAACTAAGTCCAATCATATAATTGTCTATCACAGTGAACTAAGTTTACACAAAATTCTATCTTCTATCTAAATGACATCTATATGCAATGTCTTCTTAATTTTATTACTAATAAACTATTGAAAAATCATTCAAATTGTTTTTTGCGATTGATAATATGCAAACTATATCGATAATAGAGTGCATGCCAAATATAAGTTTAAAATTAAATTTCAACAATTTTATTTTCCTTCTGACTTATACTAGCATCTATTGTGTGGCTTCGGTTAATGTTTTTGAAGTCATTATATTTAAATGTATAATGGAATATAACTACTGTATTTTTATACAAACCACAGTGCAACTTGCAAAATAATTAGTGTAGACTGCTTATGAAAATAGCATAGAGAAGGGAGTTGTTATTTACATAAGATATGGTAATTCAATTTAATTTAATAAATACAAAAACTGTAATTATAGGTCATTTCTGTGAAAACATTAAGATAAAGTTAACACTTGTGATTTTTTAAAAATACTTGGCTCACTTTTTGAGATAAAGCCAAGACAAACAAAACATTAAAAACCAACAACACGGAAACCCAAAACACATACTTGTGAAATATTGCGAAACAGGAATTTTGCTTGCTACAAGTTGGTTTTTAACACAAAGGTTCATGTTCTTTTCAGAGCTCTTATTAGTGAGTTAAAATATTTTAAAGAAATATTATCTTCATTTTTTTGGCAACAAGTGAACTCTGATAAATTAAGTCAAACTAAAAGTATAATTGACTGAAATAACTGATTACTTTTTTAATCCTTGTTTATCTGTATATATTTAAATATAGGTCCAAAGACTTCACACATAATACAGTATTTAATAACAACGCTCCCCTAAATATAGACTTTAAGATAGCTATATTTAAGCAACATAAAGACTATTTACCTCTTTCTGAATTTTTAAATCAATATATTTTTGCTTATCAGCAATGGAATCATAATGCCTTTCTCTTAAATCAGCAATTTCTTCCTCAGTAAGAGGCCTAGAGAAAAAAAGGGAGAGGAGGGAAAAAGAAAGAAAAAAACATCTTATGAGTAGGAGCGCATATAAAATACTCCTTAAAAAAGTCAGTGAAATTCTAAAATTTTGCTTTAAAAAATGGATAAGTAATTTGATGATATGATTTCAATTGTTAGAGTAAAAAGCATACACTCTAACACCTGTTTTATTCTAACATGTATGATAAATAAGATGATATATATTACCAGGGTACATTTTTTAAAGAAATATGACCTCCATTTACTTTCACTTTCCTTCCATTTCAGCTATTTAACCTATGGGGCCTGGAAGAGGTGTACAATAAGCACTTAATTGCTAGCCACTAGGGCGGAAGTTCAAACTCACCAGCCGATCCTCAGGAGAAAGAAGAGGTTTTCTGCTCCCATAAAGATATACATACAGTCCTGGAAACTCTATGTAGGACAGCTTTGAATCAGAATCGACTGGATGGCAGTGGGTTTAAACTACGGGCACATATGTTGGATCTTATCATTACTCTAAATACTCATCATAAAATATAAACTTCAGTACTCCACATCCTGATCTCAGTCCTCAGATTATTCTGGGGCTTTTACAAGATTACTCCCAATCATAGCCTCCTATCCATCCTGATCAATGGCTGTGGACTCTGGGTCCTTTCTATTTTTCTCCCAGTCAATCTATCCTGATCATCTCCTGCATTCATTTAACTTACAACCATGTGGACACCATGGTGGATCTGAACTCCTTTCTTATCAACATATTCAACTTTTTAGCATTCTTATCATTACAGTGTGGTGCTGTGGGTTAATGTGCTGGATTGCAAAGTTGGTTTGAACCACAAAGTCAGCAGTTTAAGCTCATCAGCCACTCCTTGGAAACCCTATTCAGGGTTGCTATGGGTTGGAACTGACTTGATGGCAGTTACCAACAATCACATCATTACCGCGTATCAACTCATTTCACTTACACGTTGATTTAGGATTATTTCTATCACTAGCACTTTTAAATAAGAGCTGCTAAGGAGTTCTGGTAGCATAGTCATTATGAGTTGGACTGCTAATTTCATGGTCAGTAGTTCAAGACTACCAGAAGTTCCATGGGAAAAAGATACGGCTTTCTGCTCCCGTAAAGATGTACAACCTCGGAAACCCTAAGTAGGGTGGTTATGAGTCAGAACTGACCTCATGGCTCATAACCACCATCACCAATATAAGAGCTGCTAGAATAAGTAAGTCCACCATTCATGGGATGCTTAATCTCAAGCAATAATCCTTTACCTTACATGTGGTCAACTCCTTCTACACTGAAGCCTTAAAAATCTATAGAAACTCAAGTTTCTTATTCAAACTTTTCTCATAAGACAATTTTATAGCACTTTGAGGAACAGGAAGCAACAGACATGAACTCCCTCAATGTCTTGCCATATTCCTTCTTAAGAACATCCTCCTTCTTCTTCGTTCTCATCTCTAGCGGGGTAGTGCTCCTTTGATTGTTCAAGGCCACTGGCTACGCCTCCATTCTTCATTAATTTTCTGCTGATGTCTCCTCCACCTCCTACTCCAGAATTTCTCTGGGACACTGCTCCATCATCACTTCTCTTTTATCTTGAATCGACTTATTTGTGTCTTCTTTTTCACATCTCTCCCATGTGAAGGGAGGAGGGAAAGAAGTAAAGAAAGAATGAAAAGTCATTAAACCTACATCTACCTCTAGCACTTTCTCTCCTTCCCATGCAATCAAAATTCTTAAACTGAATGTATAAAATCAGTAGCATGCCCAAGCATGTGTGAGGTACTGCCCTATGTGCTTGTAGATTCACCAAATTCAATCCGAACAACTCAACAAGTTAGATATTGTGATTATATGAGAAATTAGACTCAGAAAGAGTAGTGTACCCATTTTAGATCAAATTGCTGTCGTTAGGTGCCATCGAGTCAGTTCTGAGACACTGTGACCCTATGCATAACAGAAGGAAACACTGCCTGGTCCTGCTCTATCCTCACAATCATTGTAACCCTAAAGCTCATTACCGCTGCCACTGTGCCAGTATATCTTGTGGAGAACTTCCTTTTACTCGCTGATGACATTTGACCAAGCATGATGTCCTTCTCCAGGGACTGGTCCCTCCTGGCATTATGTCCCAAGTATGAAAGAGGAAGTTTGGCCATCCTGGCTTCTAAGGAACATCCTGGCTGTAGTTCTTACAACACAGATTTATTTGTTCCTTCGGCAGTCCATGGTACATTTAATATTCTTCTCCAACACCATAATTCAAATGCATCAATTCTTCTATGGTCTTCTTTATTCATTGTCCAGCTTTCACATGCATATGAAGTGACTGAAAATTCCATGGTTTAGGTCAGGCACACTTTAGTCCTCAAACTGACATATTTGTTCTCGAACACTTTAAAGAGGTCTTGTGCAGCAGATTTGCCTAGTGCAATATGTCGTTTGATTTCTTGACTACTCCTTCTATGAGCATTGACAGTAGATCCAAGCAAAATTAAGTCTTTGACTTTAATCTTTTCTCCACTTATCATGATGTTATTTATTGATCCAGTGGTGAGGATTTTTGTTTTATTTACACTGAGGTGCAATTCATACTGAAGACTAAGGTCTTTGACTTTCATCAGTTAAGTATTTTAAGTCCTCTTCACTTTCAGCAGCAAAGCTGTATCATCTACATATCACAGGTTGTTAATGAATCTTCCTCCAACCCTGATGCCACTTTCTTCAACATGTATTTCAGTTTCTCGGACTATTTATTCAGGATACAGATTGAATAAATATGGTGAAAGAACACAACCCTAGCATACAGCTTTCCTGATTTTAAACTTTTCATTGTCCTCTTGTTCTGTCTAACCACCGCATCTTGGTCTATGTTCAGGATCCTCATGAGCACAGCTGAGTGTTCTGGAATATTGATTCTTCACAATGTTGCTTATAACTTGTCATTATCCACACAGCCAAAAACCTTTGTACAGAAAATGAAGCATAGGCACACATCTTTCTGATATACCATGCTTTTAGCAATCCATCTGACATAAGCAATGATATCCCTCATTTCACATACTCATATGAATCTCACTTGAACCTCTATAAGTTCCCTGACAATGTACTGTTGTAGCTGTTTTTGAATTATCTTTAGCAAAATTTTACTTGCATATGATATTAATGACACTGTCTGATGATTTCTGCATTCCGTTGAGTCACTTCTCTTTGGAATGGGTACAAATATGGGGAGGCCAGGTAGGTGTCTTCCAAATTTCTTGCCATAGATGAGTGAGTACCTTCAGGGCTGCATCAGTTTTTTGAAAGATTTCAATTTATATTCCATCCATTCCTGGAGCCTTGTTCTTTGCTAATGCCTTCAGTGTTCCTTGGACTTCCTTCAGTACTATTGGCTCTTGATCATATGCTACTTCTTGAAATGGTTGAACATTGACCATTTCTTTTTGGTATAGTAATTCTATGTATTTCTTCCATCTTCTTTTGTGCAATATAATTTTCCAAATTTCTAAGTTCTGTTTTCATTTTGCATGTTCATTTTTAAGTTCATCTCTTTCCTCTCAAAATTTACTACAAGCAGCCAGGAGAAAAACCATGTGGCTCATTAAAAATATTCCTTAGAAATCTCAGCCAGATATATAAGTTCATTACTTTGAAGTCCGACATTCCACCAAACATGTGAACATAATTCACAAGTTCTTTGCCACTGCATAAAAAGCATTATCCTACCTTCCTCAATGGAGGAAGCCTTACCAGAAGCACATTTAATGTCTACATTTTAGCAACATTCTGTTGCTGGTGCCATATACATTCTCAAAAATGACCGCGACTTTCTCTGTAACTTGTTTTACTTCATCTGAACTTTCACCAGAATTGTTTTTGATGTCTATAATTCTACCAAGAGTTTCTTAAAGTGCCATCAAGTTGGTTCCGACTCACAGAGACTCTTACTGTTAGGCACCTTAAAAGTCTTCCAACCTCCACCCATTACCCAATTCCAAAATTGTTTCCATATTTTAGGAATCGGTTAGTATAGCATCTTACTCTTCCAGTACCAAATACCTGTAGTCATCGAATGTTGTTATAACAAAAATGCTACAAGTGAGTGGTTTGAACAAACTGAAATTTATTCTCTTATTGTTTAGGAGGCAGGAAGTCTGAATTCAGGGCACCAACTCTAGAGGAAGGCTTTCCTGTCAGTTCTGAGAGAAGGTTCTTGTCTCCTTTCAACACAAGTGGGCCTAGTGTTTCCTGGAAACCTTCACGTATCTTAGAATCGATCTCCCCCTAGGGCTAGGAGGCTCTTGGTGCTGGGACCCTGATTCCAAAGGATGTGCTTCACTATTGACTCTTGTTTCTCGGTGGTTGTCAGGTTCTTCCTCTCGGCTTATTTTCTTTCATCGCTTCTTGAAAGATAAAAGGTGGGACTCAGGCAAGGGTGTGAAGTGCATAATGGTGGAACCTGAGTCACACCTTCTTATAAGGCTGTGACTCAAGATATACACTACACATTAACACAACATCTTCAACAACTAGAAGCAGACCAGCAGCGGGAAACTACAGTCACCAAAAGAAGGGAAATAATAAAGATAACAGCAGAAATAAACGAGATGGAAAACCAAAAAACTATAGAAAGAATCAACAGGACAAAGAAGCTGGTTCTTTGAAAGGATTAATAAAATTGACAAACCACTGGCAAAACTAATTAAAGAAAAGAGGGAGAGGACACAAACAAATTGCATTAGAAACCACATGGGTGAAGTCACAACAGAATCAAATGAAATCAAAAGGATAATAACAGAATACTATGAAAAGCTATACTCCAACAAATTCGAAAATTTAGATGAGATGGATACATTTCTAAAAAAACACGACCTACCTTAACTTACTCCGACTGAAGTAGAAAACTTGAACAAACCCATAACAAAAGAAAAAATTGACCAGGTCATCAAAAAACTCCCAACCAACAAAAGCCCAGGCCCAGATGGCTTCACGGGTGAGTTCTACCAAACATTCAGAAAAGAACTGTCACCAATTCTACTCAAATTATTCCAGGACATAAAAGAGGATGGAAGACTCCCTAATACTTTTTATGAAGCAAACATAACCCTCATACCAAAATCAGGGAAGGACATCACTAAAAAAGAAAACTATAGACCAATATCCCTCATGAACATAGACACAAAAATTCTCAACAAAATACTAGCCAATAGAATCCAACAGCACATTCAAAAAATAATACATCATGACCAAGTGGGTTTCATAAAAGGGATGCAAGGATGGTTCAACATCAGGAAAACAATCAGCATAATCCATCATATAAATAGGAAAAAAGGAAAAGAACCACATGATCATATTGATTGATGCAAAAAAGGCATTTGACAAAATCCAACATCCATTCTTGATAAAAACACTCAACAAAGTAGGAATTGAAGGGAAATTCCAGAAGATATACACTAATCCTGCCTCATGAATACATAGGGTTAGGATTATAACACATATCACAAAATGGAGGCTAGCCATACAATACTTAGAATCCTGGCTTAGCCAAGTTGACACATTTATAACAGATCTCTTTGCTCTCTTGGTTCTTCAGTATCTCTTGGTTGCTTTCTGATTCCTCTTCCAGTTCCTACCCATTCAATCCTCACACTACAGCCTTCTTTCCACAAGACCAGGCATGCAAATTATGAAACATTACATGAAAATATTTTAATAGAGTATGAAGAGGCTACTTTTAAAGATTATAGTATCAAGGTTCTAGTTAGTACTGAAAGTTAAAAAAAACACAACAACTCTTTTGATTAGTAAAACAAGTTTTAGCATGTTCATAAGGAGAGAAAAGGAAGACAAGGTTCAAAAAGTTCAACCAGAAAAACCAGATATCTTTGCTGCTGAGTCAATCGAGTCAATCCCAACTCACAGAGACCCCACAGGGCAGAGGATCACTGCTCTCCAGGATTTCTGAGGCTACGAATCTTTACAGAAGCAGACTACCTCATCTTCCTCTCATGGAGTGGCTGCTAGGTTAGAACTGTTAAACTTTTAGTGAGGAGCCTAATACTTAACTCACTGTGCCACTGGGGCATCTTAAAAAACAACAACAAATTTATAGGGAATATATTTATCAATCTTAGATAATTTTTAAAAAATTGAAAAATGAATCACAACTTAGGGCTAATAGGTAAGTACATAAATATTCAGGTATATTAAATTCTTTAATGTTCAATACAATCTTTTGAGATATTTATTATTTGCCTCCATTTTATTATATAAACAGTAAGTGCAACTTCTGATATGTTACCTGTTCAGTGTGTCAAAGTAAACAAAGGACAGTCTCAGGGCTCTTGAAGTTTCTTGTAGTGCACATAGAAGAGTTATTTACTTATTTTTAAAAAGTCTTACCTATGACTGCTTCCTGGGCTTTCTCCCTGTATAAAAATTAAACAAAGAAACTTTACTTCGTGGAAATATCTACTTTTATCACAGTAAAAAATTTCCTATTTAAGTGTTCTAAAGAAAAAGTTTTACATTTCCACACTTTCTCAGCAGCAACATTTTGTTTGATACTTAGCTAAATTACGTAACAATCATTTGGGGGACATTTCTTAAAATTTTCTAACGTATATTGACTATATACTAAATGAATGTCTGCATCAGAATGGTACTAGACAACATATTCTCTATGCCTCATTACTTATTTGGTTTTTATTTCCATGTTTATGAAATCACCTACGGTTTTTCCTCTAAAGCAAACTATAATGGTTTTCACATATTTCTTATATACACTTAAACTGTTCACATCTGACAACAGAGTTAAAATAAATAACTGAACAACACCAGGATATGTTGATTGATCTAATTTTGAATGATCTAAATATATTTATAAAATAGCACTGCAATAAAGAATGCCTCGCAACAAAATTAAGTGCTAAATATGGTGTAAGATGAAAAAGAGAAAAGTGCTCTCTCAACTAACCAAACAACAGCAACTTGTGAGAACAAATGGAATCACGAGTTCCTTTAAAAAGTGTATGATGTTGGGACAAACTATTTTGGAAGCTGAAATAACTCTTTTCACTGAGCTTTTGTCAGAAGTTTAAAAAATATCTTGTCCAATGTTTGCTTAAACTGATTTTAAAAAAAACATAATGACCTTTGGGAAGAAAGTTTTACAAATCCTTCAAACATCTGCAAGAAATTTAGATAACAGAACAAAGGATAAGATAGTTTACCAAATGTGTTCTACCAGATGATAATCAATATGCAATATTAGTTTTAAAAACTATAAATTACTAAGCTAGTCTGAGAAATGCTGAGTTGGATGAGTTTAAATAACTTGTTTTAACAATAGTTTTAACAACTTTTAACATGCTAATTTATACTGTGATATTAGTATTCTGTACATACTCTGGAGAAAGCTGGGCTAAAGAAAACCTTAAGTCTTTAAAGAAAGGCTTGGCACATTTCCTCTTTCCTTTAACAAATAGTGCTGGACAATTAGGTCTCTACATGCACAAGAATACAATTGTATTCTTATCCCACACCATATACAAACGTTAATTCAAAATGGATTAATGGCCATTAGGCTCATTAAATAAAAAAACAAGGGTACATCTTTAAGACTTTGTATTTGCCAATGGGCTCTTTTAGATAGAAGATACATCAAAAGCATATGCAACAACACAAAGAAATAGACAAAATGGACTTCCTCAAAATTACGAATGTTTTGCAGCAAAACATATTCAAGAAAATGAAAGGACAACCTAAAGAACTGCAGAAAATATTTGGTAATCATATTATCTGAAAATGGTTAATATTCAGGATTTATAAAAAAAAAACGTGTACAACTCAACAACAAAAAAACCCTATCAAAAATGGGCAAAAAATTGTAAAGGTAGATGTTTCACAGCAAAAGGAAGTGTTTGACTTTGCAGTCCCAGTGGAGGCCCCTGGGACCATCAAAGAACAAGAGCGGAGTGCAGACCCTACCCAGAAAAACTGTTGTCAAGAGATGGAGGCAGCGATGATGACATGGAGAGATGGAGCGGCTGGCAACTCTAGACCCAGAGAAGGGGAGGGGATGTGTGCCGAAGACCAGGGGGCAAGCTTGTGGGGTGTACGCTTTGGTTGGTTGATGATGCATGGAGGGGATTGTAACCATGGCAATGTAATGACATACGATAAGATGAATGTAAAGCTAATGTTCTCCCATGTAAACTATCAAATAATTCATAATAAAACATTAAAAAAAAAAAAGATAAAGGAATTTTCCACACACACAAAAATACTATGGCACAAAATTAAGTACCATGTTAAAACAGTGTAAGTATCTTTGAATATCTTTTGACACTCTTCCTATAAATTAAAAATACTTGTTGAAAATTTGTTGTAAGAATTTCAATAAAATGATTGGATTGCTTAAAAAAAATGGGCAAAAGACTTGAATACATTTTTCTAAAGATATACAAATGTCCAATAAGCATATGAAAATATGTCCAATGTTATTAGTCATCAGGGAAATTAAATGCAAATCAAACCACAATGAGATAACATTTCACCCCTACTACGATGGCTATCAGCGGTTCGAAACTACCAGCCGCTCCGCGGGAGAAAGATGAGGCTTTCTACTCCCGTAAAGATTTACATCCTCAGAAACCCTGTACAGGGTCACTATGGGTCGGAACCGACTCGATGGCACTTAACAACAACAACAACGATGGCTATTAAGGTGCTTTGGTAGCGTAGTGGTTAGTGGTTACAAATTGGGCTGCTAACGTCAGGGTCAGCAGTTCAAAACTACCATCTGTTCCATGGGAGAAGGATGAGGCTTTCAGGTTTTGTAAAGATTTACAGCCTCGGAAACCCTGTACAGTGTTGCTGTGAGTCGGAACCGACTCCATGGCACACCACCACCACCAGGATTGTTATTATATCAGAAGAACAAATAATTACCTGTTTTGGTGAGGATATGGAAAAACTGGAACCCTTGTACATTGCTAAAAGGAATGTAAGATGGTGCAGCCAATATGGAAATTAGTTTGGTAATTCCTTTAAAAGCTAAATGTAAAACTAACATGACCCAATAATTCACACCTATGTATATATCCAAAAGACTTGAAAACAGGTACTAAAACAGACACCCATTCATCAGTATTTATTACAATATCACTTAGAATAGCCAAAAGATGGAACAACACAAAAGTATCCATCAACAGATAAATGAATTGAAAAAAGAAAAAAAGATGGTCTATACTGGTAGCGTAGTGGTTACGATTCGGGCTGCCAATCTCAAGGTCAGCAGTTCCGTGGGAGAAAAATGAGGTGTTCTGCTCCCGTAAAGATTTACAACCTCGGAAACCCTGTGCAGGGTCACTTTGAGTTGGAATTGACTCCATGGTACTTAACAACAACATACATACAATGGAAGATTACTCAACTACAAAGAGAAATGAAGTTCTGATATATGGGTGAATCTTGAAAGCAACATGCTAAGTAAAATAAGACACAAAAAGACAGATACAGTTTGATCTCATGTATATGAAATATCTACAAATATGAGGGGGCTTCAGAAAGTTTGTGGGCAAATAGAATTAAAAGATAACAGAATATGTCCATGAATTCATACACAGAGACCAAAGGAATGAATATCAGAGAAACACTGTCAGATATAGTGCCGGAAAATGAGCCCCTCAGGTTGGAAGGCACTCAAAATGCAACTGGGGAAGAGCTGCCTCCTCAAAATAGAGTTGACCATGATGATGCAAGTGAAATAAAGCCCGTGGGAGAAAAGCCTGCGGGACCTTTATTTGCTGAAAAAGAGTAAGACCCCCAATGAGATGGATTGGCCAAGTGGCAGCATCGATGGACTCAAGCGTGGCAACAATAGTGAGGCTGGTCAAGGATTGGGCAGTGAGTGTTTCGTTCTGCTGTGCATGAAGTCGCTATGAGTCAGTACCAACTCTATGGCATCTAACAACAACAACAACAACAACAACAACAGGCTAGGTCCAGGGAAGATGGGAAGTTATTACTTAATAGGTACAGAGCTTCTGCTGGCATAATGAAAAAGTTTCGTAACTAGATAATGGTGATGGTTAATACAATACTGTGAATGTAATTAATGAATTGCACACTTAAAAATTGTTAAATTAGAAAAAAAAGAGTCTACTTTGAATTGTAGAGGCATTTTTACCTATCAGATGGCAAGAGGTCAGAAATGATTCCATTCTAAAATTCCTCAAGCTTTACGGATACTTAAAAATCTGTTATATATACTTTATTTATACATATACATGGTGGTAGAGTCCTGGTGTGGCACTGTGGGCTAATGCGTCAGACTGCAAAGTCATTTGAACTGCAAAGTGGGTGGTTCAAGCTCACCAGCTGCTCCTTGGAAATCCTATGCATGGTTGATATGGGTTCAAATCGACTCAACAGCACTTAAACAACAACATGCATGGTGGTGGTGGTGGTGGTGGTGGTGGTGATGGTTGAGTGCTGTGGAGCCGGTTCAGACTGAGTGACCCTGTATAGGGTTTCTGAGGCTGTAAATCTTTACAGGAGCAGAAAGCTTTATCTTGAGATCAGCAGCCTGACCCATAACCACTCTGCTACCAGACAGAGCATATATAAGTATATATAAAATTTTATACTAACTATGGATATTAGTCCTGGTGTGGCGCTATGGGTTAATGCACCAGACTGCAAAGCCGTTTGAACTGCAAGGTCGATGATTCAAGCTCACCAGCTGCTCCTCGGAAACCCTATACAGGGTTGCTATGGGTCAGAACCGACTCGATGGCACTTCACAACAACAACATGGGTATTAGATGTATTACATCATAGAAAATTCTGAGTTTATTTGCTAAGAAATATAAAGTAAAAACAAAACCCAAAATTTAAATTCTAAAGCAAAAAATAAAAAATACAAATATAAAAAGTACAATAAAGGGTGTGAACTAATGACCAAATTAGAACAAATATGAATTTTGCATTACTATGGAAATACTTACTTCATCACTTTCTACTAGATTCTCAAACTGAAAAACAAAAAAGAAAATAAATTGTTAGGAGGAATATTTGTGAAAAGCATGTATCCCACAGTTAATTACAAGTGACTTTTACAACTAAAAAACAATATACCTTTATATTTGCTAGAGACTTGTCTAATGCTTCTTTACATGTCAGCTTGTTCAATAAATTCAACAGTTCACAAAACCATCAAGACAAGATATACCATTTTTATTATTACTTTATATGAAAAATTTAAGAGAACTGTACCAAGTTTCTTTATAAATTTGACATAAACTTGTCAACTGAATTGAATATTTGGTATCAGAATTTTCCACTTTACTTGGGTTCATGGCAAATTATACAACAGTTATACAAATGGGTAAGAGCTAGATTTGTTTTGTTGCTGTTGTTTAATTCTGTATTAAAGGCCAAGTCTTCTTTGTCAGGAACTCTGGTAGCATAGTGGTTACGAGTCAGGTTGCTAACCTCAGGGTCAGCAGTTCGAAACTACCAACTGTTCCATGGGATAAAGATGAATCTTTCTGCTCTCATAAAGATTTACAGTTTCAGAAACCCTATGCCCCTAGCGTCACTATGAGTTGGAACCGACTCCATGGCACACCACCTCCACCACCACTTATTTGTTAATAGTGGCCACCTGTATTCAATCTATATGCTGAGTAAAGAATCTGAGAAGCTGGACTTCAAAAAGAATACAGCATCAGATCGGAGGAAGACTCATTAACAACCTGTGATATGCAGATGACACATCCTAGCTTGCTGAAAGTGAAGAAGACTTGACGCACTTACTGATTAAGTTGTATGACTATAGTCCAGTATGGACTACACCTCAACATAAAAAACACAAAAATCCTCACTACTGGACCAATAAACAACATCATGCTAAACTGAGAAAGGATTAAAGTTGGCAAGGATTTCGTTTTACTTGGATCCACAATCAATGGCTGTGGAAGCGGGAGTCAAGAAATCAAAGGACATATTGAATTGGGCAAACCTGCTTCAAAAACCTTTTTAAAGTATTAAAAAGTTCAGATGTCACACCTTGAGGACTAGACTCAAACCATAGTTTTTCCAGTAGCCTTATATGCACGTGAAAGCTAGGCTATGATTAAGGAAGACCAGAGAAGACTTGGTGCACTCGAATACCGGTGTCAGGGAAGAGCAGAAGAACACGGACTATATCATGTTGTTGTTAGTGCTATCAAGTCGGTCCTGACTCAAAGAATTCCTGTACAGGGTTTTCTAGAAGCAGCTGGTGGGTTTGAACTGATGACTTTGCGGTTAGTAGTTACATTCTTATTCTACAGCCCATGCCAGGAAGCCTGAAAATACCACGGATGGCCAGAAAAATGAACAAATCTATTTTGGAAGAATTACAGCCACAATGCTCCTGAGAAATCAGCAAGGTGAGATTTTCTCATGTTACTCTGATCATGTTATAGGAAGAAGCAGTCTCTAGAGAAGGATACCGTGCTTGCTAAAATAGAGCGTCAGTGAAAAAAAGAAAGACCCGCAATGAGATGGACTGACATATTGCTGTCAACAATGAACTCAAACATAATAACTGTGAAGATGATGCAGACTAGGCATTGTTTTGTTCTGTTGTGCCAACAGTCAGTATGAGCTGGAACCAACTTGACAGTACCTACACCTGCACTACTGTTTAGAACACATTCTGAAGCTGTATCTGGACTTCAAGAAAGACACCACTGACGCCCAAAATAGCCAGACAATTACACAAATAGTGTGACAAGTACACACTCTCCCTCCTCAATCTGGATCAGTGGTTATCATCCTTACCGGAACACTGGATTCACCTAGTGATCTTTACAGACATACAGATGCACTACCTGCAAGCATCTGATTTAGGTTTTTTTCAGAAGCTCTCCAGGTGAGCTTAATGTATCATCATGACACTGACAGACAGAACTAAAACCAAAAGCAAACCTACTGTCATCGAGTCAATTCTGACTCATAGTGATCCTGTATAGGGCTTCCAAGGCTGTAAATACTAAAAGGAGCAGAAAGCCTCATCTTACTCCCAGGGAGTGTTTAGTCGGCTTGAACTGCTTACCTTGTTATTAGCAGTCCAGTGCTTATATTGCCTGTGTCTAACCAAAGTTACAATAACAAAAACACACTTTCGCAACATCAAAATGAACTTCTATAATAAAATATCTTTTAGCCTTTAAACAACAATCCAAGTAATGGAAATGATGAAAAACCACAAGCTTGTATTGAAATATGCTGTAGGTACAAATATTGTTAATGATTAATTAAACATCCTATTAATCCAGAAAATAAATGCAGATTATCTATTGTTGTCAAAACAAGAGTATAAAAGATAAAAGGTGCTCTCCTGCTCCAAAGACTATTAATTTTAGATGTGATTTTAAAAGATTAAAATAAACAAACAAACCCAATATATGTGTGTGCCTAAAACAAAGGGAAAAAGTACTAACGTTGCTTGGTGGTTCTTAAATAATTGATAGGACACCATAGAAATATAAGTTGGCACTCTTTTGTGCTACTCATCAAACACTTTTGGTTATGGGATTAATTAGTAGAATAAGTGAGAATCTTCTAGATTATTTAATGTTCTGTTGTCATCTGCCATTGAGGCATCTCTTACTCATGGAGGCCCATGAACTGCTTCATAGAGTTTTCTCAGCTGTAGTACATTTTTCTAATCTCATCTTTTAAAATAATATTTTATTCTGGGATCATCAATGGAGAAGAGCACAAGCAGAATGAGAGACCTTATCCAGAGAAGCAGTGACACCAGAGATGGAGGCAGAGATCGGGACATGGAGAGAAGGGGTGGCTGAGGACTCTGGACTCATGGGATGTGAGGGACTAAGATCTGGTGGCCAGGAGGCAGGCTTGCAGAATATGACCTTTGGTGGTGTGAATTATTATATATGCCTGAGTGTTTGAAAAAAAGCTAAAGTGAATAGAGAGAAATACTGGTAACTGATGGTACATGGAGGGGATTATAATCATTGTAATGAAACAAGGTGTATGATTTGTTGAATGTAAAACTGATGATCTGCCCTTTAAAGTTTTACACAACCCACATTAAAAAACCTTAAAAAAAAAAATTAAAAAAAAAAAAAAAGAATACCAGAAAAAAAAATTTTTTATTATGTTTAAGATATAAGTTTACACTAAAAATTAGGTCCCCGTTTAACAATTCCTACAAAAATGATTCAATTATATTGGCTACATTTTTCTCAATGTGTCTTAGTCTCAAATCATTTAATGTAGGCTGTATTGTTTCCAGCATTTTACTTCCCCTAACCTTCTCATCTTTGCTCTAGAGTAATTTGGAACCATTTAGTCTCATAGACCATTTTTTTTAAAGGAGTTCATTATTCATAAGTGATATGTATTCTCTGGTAGTGTAGTCATTACGAATCGGTCTGCGAACCTTAAGGTCAACGGTTCGAAACTACCAGGCACTCTGCGGGAGAAAGATGAGGCTTTCTACTCCCGTAAAGATTTACACCCTCGGAAACCCTGTACAGGGTCGCTATGGGTCAGAACCAACTCCATGGCACTTAACAACAACAACATATGTCACATAAGTAAAGGGTAACCTTCGTGGCTAGAATCTTTATAGTAGCAGGCCACCAGGATCTTTCTTCTGTAGTGCCTCTTGTTGTAGTTAAGTGTCATCGAGTCAATTTCAATTTATAGCAACCCTGTAATAGGGTTTCCAAAAAGCGGCTGGTGAATCTGAACTACCAACCTTGCAGTTCAAACCAATCTTGCAGTCCAGTGCATTATCCCACATCACCACACCAAGCCTCTAAGTGGGTTCAGAGTGCCAACCTTTTAGTTAGCAGCAGAGTGCAAACTGTTTGAACCACCTAGGGGCAAAATAATACCTAAAGAAGAAAATTTATTCTTTAGGGACAAGAAAGATACTACATAAGAGTTACTAAATGTTTTATCTTATCATCTGTTCAGTCATAAGGAGTCCTGGTAGTGCAATGGTTAAGCACTCGGCTGCTATTTGAAGGGTCAGAGATTCAAACTCACCAAGAGAAAAGACCTGGATATCTGCTCTCATAAAGATTACAGCCTTGGAAACTCAATGGGGCAGTTCTATTCTGTCATATAGGGTATGAGTAGGAATCAACTCAACAGCACATAACAGTAAAAACAATGTCGTGCTAGAGATAGGAATGTAAACAAATAATATAATGTGATGAGTGCTATTATGTCAAATGATCTAATGAAATATATTACTATTGTTACAGTATTAAAATATCTGTATTTTAAAAATATAATTACTTAAAGGATGTTGTTGTTGTTGTCAGGTGCCATCGAGTCGGAACCGACTCATAGCGACCCCATGCACAGC